AACGCCGGTTTTCTCTTGTTCTTGCCCTGGCGCCGAGCAGCGACCTTTCTCTGGCTTTACTCGCTTCCAAGATGAGGTGGTGTATTCGCCCCACCCCGTGGGGGAAGCATAGGCTCGTCTTGGAAGCGAGGGTGAACTGCCTGCAGCAAGGAGGGCAGGGCGGGGCGCCCTCTCCAGTTCCTGGGTGACCCAAAGCCATTCTCTCTCAGGCTGAGATCAAGGTCTGTTGCCCAGATGGAGATGGATTTGAGTGGTATTGTGTGGTGGAGGGTGCCCCATGAGTCTTGTAATTAGCTTTACGCTGGCCGGCTCTCTGTGGGAGGATCTTGGCTACCCGCCTACTTGGTGGAAATGGGGGACTCCTGCCTAGCTTGCTCCTGTGGTTAAGGTTGAGTGAGACTCAGGGGCGTCTGAACCCCAAGCTTGGGGCTGCACGTAGGATGCCTGCCAGTGGAATTGGGAGCATCTGAAGCCCCAGGCTGAGAAGTCAGGGGTGGAGGATACTTGCTGGTTGTAGCGCCACATAAAGCATTTGACCGATAGAGTGTTGCTCAGTCTATTAGATTCGGAACTTATTTGGCTAATTTAACCTGGAATACGAAACATTTTCCAAAAAAAAAAAAAAAGACCCCAGGCTGCTGTTTGCTGCTGCTTGGCTGGTGGGTTACTCTGCACGTATCTGTCAGGCTGTGGGGACAGTGCCTGGCAGGTCACTTGCAGCTGCATACAAGGAGCCTGGCCAATGCATGCCTCAGCACACATCTGGCCAGGCAGCTTGGAGCAACCTGGCACAGGCCAGCCAGCACTCATGCAAGTTGGTTGGAGGAATTGTGAATTGACCAGGCAGCAGTTGGGAATAACGGCACCCAGCACACTGTAGGGAGGGGCTGGCCAGGCACAGAGGGAGCCTGCAGGGGCCAGTCCAACACCTGCCTGCAGTGACAAGGGACCCAGCTGTCAGCACGGGACCCAGTGTGCAGCAAGGCTCTGGGCAGCAGTAGGGAGGGATCCAGGTTCTGGACGGGATCTGTTCACCCTTCCCATCACCATGCACTCTGCCCTGGTGTTGTGAACTAGGCCTATTTGTTATGCCATGTGTGGTGGGAAACAGCATGTTTCTTGGGACAAAAAGAAGAGGAAGCAGGCATGGGAGTATGGATCAAAGTTACTGGCCACTTGAGGGGCGGACATGGAGCAGAGCTTGCTGGCCAATACCCTCTGCCCCTTGACTAAGTCCAGGGAGCCTGTGGATGCTGCCTGGTGAAACTGCCCAGAGAAGTGCATGGAAGAGGGGCAGGAAAACAACTCCATAGTTGTCTGGCTTCCTCCAGCCAGAGCCAGGAGGAGGTTGACCAGGAGGTCGTGGGACTTAGTGGAGCCACAGATTGGAAGTGCATAAAAGAAAAGTTGTGGGGAGAAGACAGTGAGAACCTCAGGAGAAGTTTTATAAGGAGGTGGTGAAGGGGCTGTTGTCTGGTGCATTTAACATAGGTGTGTGCCAGGATCTCCATGTGCTGGCAGAAGGGACAGGTGTCAGAGATGTCTGCAAAGTACATGCTGGTGGAGACTGCTCTATGCAGGAGCCTCTAACTGAGGTCCTTGGTAACTCATGAGATCAAGGTGGATGGAGTACAGGTTGGTTCACCAGGGACCCTTGCCAAGGGTGTCCTGCCACTTGTTGTTTGGTAAGACGTGGTGGAGTTTGCAGAGCATGAGCTGGCAGCAGCTTATTAGCTGTTCAGAAGCAGATTGGCTTAGTATCCCCAAGCCTGCTGAGGTGGTGGTGGGAGTGCCCTTGGTACTGGATTAGATGGACCCATGGTCTGACCTAGTATGTAGGCTTTCTTTTGTTCTTATGTTAGTTTGGGATCTGAATGAATAAACTAGAGCCCTTCCTTGCACTCATCATATTAAGTACATTAAATATTTACAGATTCACCCTTTAAAAAATCATATTTACTGGGAAAAATGCATAGATGATTATTAAAACAAATTCTTATTACTTGTCATGCTTTTGTGGGGAGGAGGAAAAGGAATCAAACAAAGTCACAACTACTGTTATACTGAAATATTGCTTAGAGAACATTTACATACATTTCTGTGTCTCTTTCTTGGTCAGATCTTAGTACCTTTCAAACTGGGGTGGTATAACTTTTTTTTTTGTTTGGCGTACTACTTCATAGGAGAGAGCTGTTCGTGGCCCATCTTCCTATTTTTTTTTGCTGTTCCATTTTCCCTGTAACATTATTTACTGTTCAGATATGTCTGGATCCAGAGCCCATTGAAGAAGTCCTTGGGAGTCTTTCCATTGGTTTCAGTGGGCTTTGAAACAGATGGTCACACTGTAGTTCAACTAAAAGGATTTTTTAGGTAAGGTCATAAATTTATTCAAGTACTCGCCTTTTCAACATGCATACAGTTGACAGAAAACTGGCTGCGGTTTGGATTGTAAGTGTACAAGGCCAAACCAGTGTGCCAGGAGCAGAAGTGCTGATGGCAGGCCTGTCTTGTTTAATTATTCTGTGCCATATACTTGATTTTCATTATGAATGGCAATATCACGTATTTTTTTTGTCGCAAAAATTCTAATAGAGCTACCACATCCATTAACTTCTGACCTGGCCCTATAATAAAGAAGGCAGGATAAGGCCCTATAATAAAGAAGCCGGGGGAGGCTCACCTGGGCCTAGAGTGAGTGAGGATT